AGAAGAGGCAGATTCGTGGAAACATTGCCGAGTGTGCTTACAGGTTGTTGTTTTTTCCAACAATATTATACCATATTATATATTGATATACTCCTGTACTCATTTATTTATTCATTTATTTATTTACTTATTTATGTATTTATTTATCTATTTATTTAGGTATTGACTCTCATCATTATCTTTGCCTTCGATTTTGATCCAGCTGTTCTCGGAAAGTAAGGAAGGCAAATGTACTTCTGCCTGTATTTGTTCTTTTTTGTGTCTTATAGAGTTACTTGTTAACTGCGCAATTGTGTGTGCGTGTGTGTGTGTGGTGGGAGGATAGTAAGCCATTTATCGTTCGTATGGCCAGCCATTAAGGTAGACTTCAATTTAAAGGACTAAATTTACATTTATGTTCGTTTAATTTCAGGCGGTAGTATCAATTGATTACACGTTGAGTTTTCATGTCTTCAGCTCTACCACCCATAGCTGTATTCTGAAAGAGTCAGTTACTTGAGGTTTCTTTCTCAGAAAACATTACCGCCTCTTGAGTGGGTGTATGTATTGGGGAAAGCCAGAGATAAGTACAACTTGTTTGTGCCGCTATAAGATTATAGGCTTTTTTTTATTAAGACGTTATGGGTGGTTGTTGGGTTCTCTGGTGTGGTGTGCCCCTTCTCTAGTCTTTTAATCTGTCATCCTTATGTCTCTTTTCTTTATGTTACTTTCTAGTAAGAGGGTTGTTGGCGGGTGTTCCAATGTGGTTTACTCTTTCTTTTCCATCAAAAATTTTTCTTAACTCGCTTCTTTCTTCCCGTTGTATATTACTCTCCAGTGAGACCTTCAGTCCTCTGCCCGTATATGACACGTCATGTTGTATTACACGTGCGTAGAACTTATTAAAACTAAACAAAACATCAGAGAGAATTTGCCTGTTGCGTAAAAATATGAGTCTACCCGTTTGATGCAGCTGGTAGATCTAAGGAACGAGGTCTTTTAAAGAGTTCATAGAAAAGGGGCAAAAAATTAGCTGAAAGATCGTTCGCCCACATTGCTCCGTCAGTTTGGAACTCTCTTCCCCAACCCTTGAGACATACAACATCTGAGTCTAAATTTTAAAAAATGTTTAAAGACACATTTAATGACATCCTTTTTATGTCAGTAGATTCATGTTCAATACCATGTTATGTAAATGACTATGTGTCCATTTATGCATTTTGTGAATTGCATTGTGTATATTATTTTCTGCTCATTTCGTGACGATGTCTAAGTGTGTGCGTTGGTTTTAGCTAGTAGATGTGTGTGTGTGTGTGCGCGCGCGCGTGTGAGTGTGTGTTCGTGAGTGTGTATGGGTGTGTTTGTGTGTGTATGTGTATATGTGTGTGTGTGTTTGTGTGTGTGTATGAGGGTATGTATTTGTGTGTGTGTGTGTGTGTGTGTGTGTGTGTGTGTGTGTGTGTGTGTGTGTGTGTGTGTGTGTGTGTGTCGCGTGCGTGAATATTGTTCGTAAGTAAAGCGCCTAGAGCTGTGTTTTCACGGGAGTGGGCGCCTTCATTATTATTATTATTATTATTATTATTATTATTATTATTATTATTATTATTATTATTATTATTATTTTTATTATTATTATTATCATTATTATTGTCTTCAACGTGAAAGTTCCTGGTTCACTTCTGAGTGAGATCTGAATTACTTTCTGTCCTTATCGGAATATTTCTTCTCAGCTGGTGTTCTAACGAAGCATGAGGTTCCCTGCCTTCGAAAATATTCACGTTGACATGTACTTTCGTCTATGATTTAAAAGTATAACTGTTTTACGCTTTCATGTGGATAGTTGGCTGGCACTCTGGTGTGGATTGTTTCTGCTTTCCAATCAAACTTCTTTGTCGTCCTGATCTTTCCTTTTTCTTTTGTTCTTATATCATTCTCTTGTAACACCTCTAATCCGTAGCGCTTATATGACCTGTTTGTGTTTCAAGTGCCGTAAAGGTCTACTAAAAACTGAAACTACGCCTCCATTGGCACTATATTTTAGTGGGTGGTTGGTAGGTGCTCTGGTGTGGTTTGCTCCTTCATTCCTGTATCGAACATCTATCGTCCTTATCTCTCCTCCTTCTTTTTTATGTTTGTTACTCTCTTTTAACACTTCTAATCTTCGGCATTTATATTACCTTATTGCGTTGCAAGTGCACTGTATTTTAGATCTTTATAAGGGCGGGCTGCTTCAATCCTGTTTGTTAGAGCCAGCCTTGGCTGAGAGGGATAGAGCGTCCAAGGAAAAAGACGGGAATAGTGGGTAAAAAATCGTATCCACACTGGAATCGAACTCACGTCTTTTGCTTTCGAAAAACTGATACACCACAGCCACTGCTACTTTGGTCTACATGGGCATTACACTTCAACAACATTCTCAATTGAAAGAAGAAATAACGAACAGGTGTTTATTTCTACGAATTATTCATAGCTATATATAGACAAAACACGACTGTAAGTGTGACCAATTCAACCCTTGGCAAAGTTTTATCTATTGCTATTTTTGTTGACGTCTACCTCTTTACAGGACATGGGAAAGCCCACTGCGTAGGCAGATTATCCTGTGTTATCTTTCCTAAGGAATGTTCATCGCGTAATACGTTGTCTTTTTCCATACGTACAAATAGCTTTTCTTAACTCATTAAGGACTTAACGGGCAGTGGTGGACACATACCTCCAATCAGCAGCAAACTGAAGGCAATGTTGCCGCTCATTCCGAAACCCCATACACAAATAAAAAACACGAGTTTTCGTTTCGTATGGTATGCATGTGGGGCATTCCTTTTAAAACTTCAGACAAATAAAACTAGATCCAAAAATCTGTTTGATTACTGAAGGTTCGCTTTAAAGCAGCTCATCATCAAGCGTTGTCGAATTACCAGAGTTGGCGTCCTCAATGAGTTAAAGCCAAGTGCTTAGATCACGGTCTTGGCTGCCGGCCTGAAAGTGTCAATGACGTGGTACATAACAAACGTAGTTAAAGAGATTTAGCACTCTCGAGTTCCCGAAACAAAACGGTCGACTGCGTTAGAAAGAGGCGAAGTACTGTTCACGTATGTTTTGTTAGTCAGTCGCCTTCTCACTTTTCTTTTGTCCACCGTTTAATCTTTGCACAGTTCATTACCAGTAATAAATATTCGATTAATCCTCAACAGTAAATCCTGAATGAGTGAGCTCTGAGGACGATTTTTTTTTTTTTTTTGGTGCGAGTGGTAGGGGATTATTTTGCCTCATGAAGAAACAACAGGGCTAGCCACTGAGTTGAAGAGTCGGACACAGAATAAATAGGAAAATAAAAGGCGCAATTGGTTTTTCGATAGTGTTTCAGTCGCCATAATGGATTATATGAATTCAGAAGAAAAAAACTTTTTTTTTCTTTTTGTTTAGGCGTACTTTTATTTTTACTTTTTGATGCTGTGTTGCCGTTGAACGCCGAGGAGAAGATGTAGTTTTCGATGGTAGGCCGATCCTGCAATTCTTTCAATTGAGATGTTGTAGTTTCTCAGGGTTCCCTTGACTTTTTTCCGTCCGTCTGCTGTGTTACCTACTTCTTCCGTTGTAGCCTAAGCGTTTTACTTTGACCGTGAAGACGTTTTTTTTTCGTTGATAAAGTACCTTTGTTACGGCAGTGCTCTCATGTAGTGTACATAAATAATCGTTCCCAGTGGATGGTTGGCGGTTTCTCTGGTGTGGTTTGCTCCTTCTTTCCTACCAAACATCTATAGTCCCCACTTGTCCTGCTTCCTTTCTTTGAATATCAGTCTTAAGCACTTACTTTCACTTTTACGTTTTCATCGTCTGTTGCCGTTAAGCGTCGAGGGGAGGTGTTGTTTTCTATGGTAGGCCAGCTCCGCAGTTTTTTCAGTTGTGATATAATGTTTTCTCAGGGTTTCCTTGACACCCTCGATCCACCTTTCGCGTGGACTTCCTCTTCCTCTATGACTGAGTTCTTAGTGTTGTGGGCTCTCGAGGATGGCTGGCCAGGTGACATAAGTCTTTAGTTACACCTCTAATATTCGACTTATACGACGTAAAACTTGACAAATCAAGCCGCTCTGTGAAATCATGAAAACTGCTTCCCACTTCCACACACGGAGAAATAAGTCGTGTGATGTATCCTTACTTGTGTGAAAGAAAGCTTATTTCAACGTGCGTGCTTGGCTTGGTTTGGTATGTGTGTTTACCGCTCAGTTCTAAACGATACAGTTGTTTGTATGGTGGGATTTCCACTTGGACCTAGCCAAATGGATTGAGAGTGAACTCTTCCAACTGCCCAAGTCCAATTTTGCGTACTTGGATATTCGTACTTCAGTCCTCCTCGCCGAAACAGAGCATGATGCAAAAAACAAAAAATATTGACTTAACGGCGTCTTCTTTCTATTTATCCTTTACAGTTGCGTATTTTCTGTCACTCTCACCGTCTGCTTCTTCCCCAACTCTGTGGGTTCAGTGAGATCGGCAGGATCTTGGACAAAGCATGAGCCTGAATATGCGGTTCATAGGCTGATTGATTAATTATTAGTGGTTGATCTCTTGATATGAGCGGTGTGTGAACGTTGATGTGTGGTCATTGGAATTTGGAACTCCAGATATCAGCTCTTGTAATTTGGGATAGTTTAAATTGTTTGAGTAGATTTTTTCCCCTTTTTCTTTCTATTTTTCCCTCTTTTTGGAAAAGGGGAGGGTGTTGCCATTTTCTCAATGGTTTGCTGTGCTCTTCATGAGGTCATGTGTAACGCCCGACAATTTGAATGTTGATTGGATCTAAACTAATAATTAAGGTTAAGTATGTCAGTCAAGTTTTCCAGTTGTTAGAAGTCGATCTTAAATTCTGGTTTAGAAATTATTTTTAATTTTAACTGTCTCCTAGATCTGTTAATGCTTTGAATCACTACTCCTTAGTGACACATTTAATCTTGGACATCTATATGACCTGTTTGTGTTGCTAGTGCTGACTCTTACTAAACTCTTTTCCTCTTCAGGCTGCCGTGAAACCGTAACCTCCCCCCCCCCCCTTACGCTGAAGGACACAGACGCTGTCATAAGAATATACTGGCTTAACGAACAAGTAATGTAAGCGAGAAGGAAAGAACAACGATTACATTCTGGATTTATCTATAGGATTTGCTTCTGACCTTGGACGTTTTGTGATACAGAGGAAATTCTAAATCTCGTCAGTGTCAACATTTATTGACTGGAAGGGATTCAGTAACAGGTAAGAGGAAGATTTATGTTTGCATTGATTGCCCGAGCAACAGTAGACCTTTGTGGTATTGGTTGTGGGACGACGGGTTTAGGGTTTCTCTAAAACGATGAATAATAATGAGCTGCAAGTAGTAGCCTGTCCGACGGGTTATTTCAACATGTTTACTGGACAATAATGGGATCTGCAAAAATATGATGTAGGTGTGCCCTACTTCTTCACAAAAATTACAAAATATAATGGGGGTGTGTCCAACATGTATATTATCCCACTTTTTCACTGTCTGTCTGCTGACTCTGTCAGTCAGTCGTACTATTTTTCTTTTTCACTGAAGGGTTGTTAACGTGGAAATTGGTTTCTCTTTGAGCATTGAAAAAAGAAGAGCTTCTACTTGTTTCATCTTTGCTGTTATCCGTTAACTAATCTGTTCTTTGTATCTGTTCTTTGTAAATGTGGACTTTTAAGTGCTGGATTGTCGTAAATTACAAAACTCAACGTCAACCAACAGACATGTAAGTTCGGGAGTGAGCTTCACACGTCGTGTTTTGCTTTATCTTGTCTCTAAATATAAAATATATGGAAATACAAATCCAGGAACAATGACAGTATTTGGGGAATTAGCCCCTAAAACTAAAAGGGAGGCAAGAGAGATAAAGAAAGAATTTAACCTGCAGTTAATTGTAATGGCTGGAAAAGCGACATCTGACAGCAACATCAATACATCGCACGGCTGGGTGTATTGTATTGTATAGTATAAGGTTTTACGGCGCTTGCAACTGCTAAGGTCATATGAGCGCGCGAAACACAAGTTGTTCACCTCTGCGAAAGTTCACTTCACGACTGGTAACTAATTTACTTTAAAATGCTAAAAAGTTAAAATATTCAAATTCGGTGTAAATACATTTGTGATCTAAAACAACTTTTAAGTAACAATAAAAATTTTAAATAATATCAGATTCACTTTACAACTCGCCATAAAGGCCAATGGCCTTTATAAAATTTAAAATTCTGCTGGGAACAACGACGGAGAAAATATCCTGCAATTTCTTGCATTTATAATATTTCCTTCGGATCTCTCCAAAGTCTAGACATTCTGTTAAAATGTGTCTAATGGTAAAATCTGTGTCGCATCCGACACAGAACGGCTTCTCCTCTCCCTGTAGGAGGTATTTGTGGGTCAGGGCCGTGTGTCCGATGCGCAATCGAGTAAAAATGACTTCGTCTCTTCTGGAGAGATCCGAAGGATTTCGCTGCTCTAGTCTGGGTTTAATTTCATATAATTTATTATTTTTCTGGTTTTCCCAGTGGCTCTCCCACAGACTGGAGGGGTGGTGTTTTTCCTTTGCTTTGTTCTTTCTGCTGAACAGGCGGAAGAACTACATCACGGCCTTTTGTTTTACTTACCTGCGTATGCGTTAACATTTGTGAATGTCTTTTTTACGTTTATGTGTAATTTAATCCCCTATCCTTTCTTTCTGTATGTGTACCTATTTGTCTGTCCGTCCGTCTGTCTGTGTGCCTACCAGTATCTATCTATCTATCTATCTATCTATCTATCTATCTATCTATCTATCTATCTATGGGGGCTCTCGTGGCCTAGAGGTTAAGGTGTTGGCCTCTCACTCAAAAGGTCCCGGGTTCGAATCCGGGTAGCGACCGAAACATTTTCTTCTCTAAATTTGTCTCCTTTCACCTCATTTCCTGCTCTCTAGCAATGTTCTGTCGTCTGCTTTCTTTTGTCTCCACTTTCTGCCCTCACCCCGTCACCTCCTTTGCCCCTTCCTCTGGGCTCCTGATTCTTTCTGCAGCCTTTCTACTGCTACTCCTTCGCTTCTTCTTACTGCAGTCTTTCAGCCACACCCCTGATCTTCTGGTAGGAAAGATCTACACCTAGCCTTCTCGGACAAGGGCGAAAAATCTCGGAGGGCCCGTGTGCAAGTTGCGCACGTTAAAGATCCCTTGGTGGTCTAAAATCGATAAGAGTAGGCTTCGGCCGCCACCCGGGCAAAATTCAAAATTTCCTACCAACTAAAAATATTAGGTGTGTCCCACGCGCTCATATGACCTATGCAGTTGCGAGCGCCCTAAAACACTCTACTATAAATTTTAAAAATATATCTGTCTGTCTGTCTGTCTGTCTGTCTGTCTGTCTGTCTGTCTGTCTGTCTGTCTCTCCCTCCCTCTCTCTCTCTATCTCTCTTTCTCTCTCTTTCTTTATTTCTCTCTTTCTTTCTTTTTTTTCTCTCTCTCACTCTCTCTCACTCACTCACTCGCTCTCTCTCTCTCTCTCTCTTTCGTTCAATCACTCTTGCGGTCGTTCTCTCTTACTTATTTAACTTTCTCACTCCGTTTTGTCTCACTCCTCCTTTCTTTGCCACCTTTCTATCCTTTCCCCCCAGTCTAGCTCGAATTCCTTTTCTCTTTCTCATTTTGTCTCCCTCTCCTTTCTGTCCATTTTCCTTTTCTTTCTCTTCCTCTTTGTCCTTTATATGTATATATATATATATATATATATATATATATATATATATATATATATATATATATATATATATATAGATACATATATATACACATATATATATATATATACATATATACATATATATACATATATATATCATATATATATATATATATAATATATATAATATATATATAAAATTCGTTTCTTTGTCTCCCTATTCCTCCCATCTCTCTCTCTATCTCTCTCCCTCTCTCTCTCTCTCTCTCTCTCTCTCTCTCTCTCTCTCTCTCTCTCTCTGTCTCTCTCTCTCTCTCTCTCTCTCTCCTTCTTTCTCTCTCTTTCTCTCTCTTTTTCACACCCCTCTTTCTTCCCAAGGTTGTGCTCCTGGTCCCTCTATAAAAGCATCACCTTTTTCCTTGTAATCACTTTCTCGGTGTATGCTCGTTTTCAGGTGAAAAATAGGCACAAATCTGAAAAACAAATATATGAATAAGATCATTGACCGTTAAAGATGATTTGAAAGACAGGGACGAGAGGGGTGCGTTTTTGACATGTTTATGACTGACAACTGGTTCGTCATTTGTCATAATGACAGGCAGGAACAGTTGTTGAGAGACTGAGACTAATGCTCCGTTATGAATTATTGACAATATACATGTTTACAAACTGCTTTGATTTCAAGGAGCGTTAGGGGAGGAGAAGAAAAAAGGGGGAGGGGGGTGAAAGGTGCGTGGGACGAGGATGCATGGAAGGGGAGCTGGCAACGACTTTTTCTGTAGGGTAACAGGAACTCGTTTTCTATCGATCAGCCGTTAGAATGTATTATAAGCCTTTTTTTATATAATAATTTTTAAAACGTCAGTTTCTATATCTATGATATCGGTTGAATGTGTTTAAGAAATATTGGATTAAAATTCAATTTCTAATTTTTTCCACCCCCCCCCCCCCCCCCCCCACACACACACACACAAAAAACAAAGAAGAGATACATTGTGCAGGAACAATTTTTAAAAAGAATGAAACCGTTCTCTCTCTCTCTCTCTCTCTCTCTCTCTCTCTCTCTCTCTCTCTCTCTCTCTCTCTCTCTCTCTCTTTCTTTCTCTCTCTCTCTCTCTCTTTCTCTCTCTTTCTCTCCCTCTCTCTCCCTCTCTTTCTCTCTCTCTCTCGTTCTTTCTCTCTCCCCCCTCTCTTTCTCTCTCTCTCTCTCTCTCTCTCTCTCTCTCTCTCTCTCTCTCTCTCTCTCTCTCTCTCTCTCTCTTCATGAATTTTTGCTCTTTCTAGACTTGACCAGCTTTCTGACTATTATATTTGTCGTGTAAATAAAGTTAACATTTTGTAAATATATTACTTTGTGGCACGGTCTGCCCCTTTCATTCAAATTTATTAAAATCGTTTTGACACCTTTATTAACAGACTCTGTCTCATACACAGAGTACATTTTCAATAGGGCATGGCCCTCTAAAATTTGATGGTTATTTGGACGAGAAGATGATAAGGGGTCAAAACGATGAAATCGAAACCCAAACGTGTTGTATTAAACTAAAATAGCCGCCAAAGCACGACCATGGACACAGATGCCACCCAAATTTAGAGCTACAAGAAAGACCCCCAAAAAACAAGGACGGTAACCAACAGTTTCGGTTAATTGGCCTTACATTTTGACACTTTTTTTCGGGCATGGGCGGAGGTTTTACAGCTTTTGTTCTTATTTCATCATTTTCTTGGGTTCAGATTTTTTAAAATAAGAAAAATCTGTGTGTTTATTTGTTTACTTGTTTATAGATCTACATATTCATTTTTATTTTTTAAATTATTATTTTATTTTTTTGTTTTTTTTTGGGGGGGGGGGTTTGGGGGGGGGGGGGGGTAAAGGGTGTCTGCAAGCGGTGTCTAACAATTTAATTCTTCCATAATCCAAATACATCTTTCGGTGAACCCCAAAGTCGGTCAACGCAAAGACAACGCAGTTTGATGCAACATTCTCAAATGTGAGCACACGTCATGGGCATTTTTCTGCAGCAATTGTTTTGCTTTCACGCCCATGCCAGATCAAGTTGGAGAGTCGAGGGTAATCCCGACTGTAATCTTGACAAATTCCCGAACCGCGTAGTAGAGAATGACGTGATTACATCGGGATTTTCCGATTCCAGATCGACTTTGGTCTTTCTGTGTTGGTGTTCTTTGTTCTTTGAAGATGACGTAATTCCTCAAGTTTCGATCGCTTTTTTCGATAATGGCACCCCACCTCACCCCCCCCCCCCCCCCATTGTGTATCAAAAAAAAAAAAAAAACGCCCCTAAAAATGCCTCCTTCTTCCCTTTTTTATCTTCATGATACCCCCTTTTTTCCCCCCCAAATCCCCGCCCACCCCGCTATATTTAGATATATTTTCATAGACATTTTGCAATGGGAACCTATATGGATGTATATGGTCTGTATATAGGTATATCTCTACATGGCTATGTATAGGGAGAGATAGGGTAGATATACCCACCATCCTAGGTAAATCTACATGAGTGGAGAGATGGGCACATTTACCTACATA